GTGCCCAAGGTTCCCGCTACTCCCTTCAGGGATCAGGTGGTGAACCTCCAAGCGCTGCCCTCGGAGGAGGCAGACCCAGCCCTAGCTTTGCTCTGTCCCGTCCGAGCATTAAGATGCTACGTAGACCGGACTCAAAGCTTCAGGACCTCAGACCAGCTCTTCGTCTGTTACGGAGGCCGGCAGAAGGGGAATTCCATCTCTAAGCAGAGGATGTCCCACTGGATTGTGGAGGCCATCACCCTGGCTTATCAGGCACAGGGTGTACCCTGCCCGTTCAGGCTGCGAGCTCACTCAACTAGAAGTGTTGCATCCTCCTGGGCGCTGGCTCGTGGCGCCTCACTGACAGATATTTGTAGAGCTGTGGGCTGGGCGACCTCTAATACGTTCGCTAGATTCTATAGCCTTCGTGTGGAGCTGAGATCCTCCATCACCCTCGGCAGTGGACGCGCAGGAACGTCTGGCGCCGGGCCTTCATGATGAATCCGCGGGAACCGTGGAAGACCGGGTTCCATATTGAGACCTAAGCGGGTTTCGTATGTGTATAATTCACGGTATAGCCTTAGAGCCCGTGTTCCCCGGCAGACTTCTGCCTGTCCAAGAGGGTTATAATCACCTCCAGTTTCTCCATATACACCTAAACGGATGCTATATGTGTATTTGCTTCCGAAACCTCCTTCGGGAAGGTTGGAGCTTCCGTAACGTCCCTGTTCCAAGTAGAACGGGTACGTTTTCCCAGTGTTATCCAGTCTCACTTAGTAAGGTAGTGCTTTGAAAAATGGTGAGTGGAACTACTTGTCCCGAGCCCCGGCCTACACCAGATAGGGGCGCAGGCGGCTCGCACAGGGCCAGCCCCTCTTTGGCCGATTCCTCTGAGGAAGGATCTACTGACTCAGAGACGGGGCACCGTTTGGCACCCACGTCCAGACCTTTGGAAACTCCATGTCTGGTCCCTGGACGGGACGCGGAGGTTCTAGGTGACCTACCCCAGGATGGGAAGTCGGTAGGTAAGCATGACCTTGTCATCAGGTTCCTTAGAGGTCCCTCTATACCCTCTTGGGACCTGTCTCTAGTGCTGAAATCACTACAGCAGGGCCCAATCGAGCCTTGCATTCAGTTGAGCTAAAGTTTCTTTCATTGAAAACTCTGCTCCTGCTTGCACTGGCCTCCATCAAGAGGGTAGCGTTGGTCACCGACGTGAATCGGAGTGACCGACTGAAAGGGAACGAGGGTTACCATACGTAACTGAGACATTCTATAGTTAACAGTTCACTGGAGGGGAAGATTATAAGTGAATAACAAATTAAATTTCATTCTGTTGCTGAAATGCATGGCTTCAAAAGACCTTGAATACAGCGCACCAGTATTTGCTACCTTATTTATTTTAGCCTAACTGAACTGCTGCTGTAGAATGAAGACACTTTAAAATATCACACAATCGCAAAGAAAATACTGAAATCTTATTCAAATAGTACTGTATTAGGTTATATATATATATATATAACTGTCTCATTGATTGCACTATAATACTTGAGGAAAGCTGAGACAGTGAAAAGGAAACATGAAGTTTGTCACTTCAGTGGTGTGAGATTATGTTTCTCACAGAGCTGTACAGAGGTGAGAAATACAGACACTAATGCAGTACGAGCCATAAAAGCCTAATGCTGTTTGTTGAAACAGCTCCCAGGGTGCCATTGATAACACACCAATAAAACCCAATTACATTCGAGGGACTGGCATTTCCGGTTTTTATCTATTTATTTTCTGCCTAATTAAAACTAGTTGCTATTCTTAATTTGAGGTAATGTTTCCTTCTGGGCCTCCTTGCGGGCTTCGATTCGTAACTCTCCCCCATTCCCATCAGCCATTTTACCTCCCTCGCAAAAAGAGGTAAACAGGTTGTGTTCCCTTCATTCAGCACAGATCAAAAAAGGCTAGAGAGGTGCTTTCTCGTTTCATTTGAAATATGAGGTAGAACAAGAGCACTCACAAACCTCGCTGATCCTTTCATGTTGTAATAGTGGTACTGCTGTAGTTAACTCTCTATAATAAGGATTGTACTATTGCCTGAATAATTGAGAACTCAAATGTTCTTTTGCTCAATTGCACCACACAAGTATATGAAACACAAAGTGCTCTTTATTTGCTGAAATTTTTATTTATTTATTTATTTATTTATTTGTATGCTCATCGTTAGCACTTAGGTCTTAGGGTTTTGTAAAATAGTAGTGCAGCTATGCAAAATCCTTTATTTTTTTAGATGGTTTTGGCGACTATTATTTCCACCAATATAATACATATGTCATATATCTTTATAATATAAATCTTTTACTTTTTCCTAAATGGCTATATAAAATACAAAAAAAATAAATAAATAAATTAAATAAAATCGAATGAATGAATGAATGAAAACAACATCTCTCTTGCACACACAAAAAAAAATCTGAATAAATCCATATACACTGGAAAATAAAAATAATATTCTATGCAAACTTAAAATAATTTAATGATGAATCAACACTTTGGTTCCATATTTTGGTTCCATTGATTTAGAATGGTTTTAATCTTACTTTACTTGCAATGTTTTTGGCGACTGACCTTCAGTTATTACGAGTATTAATCTGGATGAAGCCATATGCACAGGAAATCATCCATTTAATAAAACATTCAAAATCATAAAAAAAAATAAATAAATTACGGTTTTAATCTTAACTTCAGCAAAAAAATGTTTTTAAATTATTAAATTCCACATATATATATATATATATATATTAGATAAATGCTAAAAATTGCAAAATAAACATTTTTTTTTATATTACACAAGCCTGCATATACAGAAATTGCCAACTTTCTTATTCTGCAACATCAAAGACAAGTAACAGAATGAATCTTTGACCCACTGTACAGCACAAGGTTGTTCAAATGCCTGTATACAGCAAATAGATGAGGTATCTTTAGGAAGCAAGGACAGAAGATAGCTTAAATGAAACGGAATGATGAGGGTTTACTTGGATACTGGTAGCTCCTCATGCACAAGCAAACTCCTGACAGATGTTTGATGGCATGGCATTGTACATGACTCTTCTTAATGATGCCTCCAGGGACGGGGCCCGTCCACAGGCTGAAAG